ACTTTTAAATCAGGTAAATACGAAAATCGATGATTGATATTAAAATCGCGTGAATAAAAATCGAGATCTGAATTACGAAAATACGAGCTATCCAGCCGACGGATAAAAAATACGGAAAATCTTATTTTCTGTGCGTGAAATCGGAGAAAATAGCTAAAATAAGTAAAAATGCGGAAGGGTTAGCAGCTAGGGCGTAGATTGAATTTTCTGTTTATCTTTGAAAATCGTAAATAAATATAATTATTTTACTTCAATGACTGAATTTAAAAAAAAAAACGGGATATTTATTAAAAAAAACGAAACTTTTAGAAAATCGGAGTTTTTGATAAAAAAGGCTGAAATTCGAGAGACAAAAAAAATCTCATCCCTGTGTAAAGGTCAACCAGTTTTATCCCAAGGAAATGATTTTTAGAAAAACATTAGAGGGAGGAAAAGGGACTTCAATAATTTCCCTCCGCGGAAAATTAAATTCCTCATAAAACATTTTAACTTGTGCAAAAACAATTTCAGCGGAAATTAGCGGAAAAAAAGGAAAAATTTGCAAAAAACCGGGAATCCGCGGAAGAATCTCATCCCTGACAATGTAACATTGCTATTGATCAAAAAAGGGTAAAGCAAACTAGTTTTTAACCTCCTCAAACTAATTGTATGTTAACCAAATTGCACATTGAAATAAGTGCCCAACTTGCAACCAATAGGTCAATGTTTATTCTATTGCAAGAGATGTTACATTTGGGGGATTTTGTTACAAGATTTACAAAGCTGAAAGAAAATAACATAATTTTTTTATAAACTGTTCCATGAAAACTGATTCTTAATTTATTTCAAGTATATATATATATATATATATATAAATAAACACATGTATTAGCTAAGATCTTGGACTCTAATACTAATCTAGTAAAAAATTCTTTTCATATTAAATTCAGAAATAATTTTCTATTTAGTATTTAGTAAATTCAGAAATAATTTCTATTTAGTATATACAAATATAAGGTCAAGCGACAAAAATAATTTAATAAACAAAAAAGTTTTTGGTTACTCAAGTAACAAGCTAAAGTTACATTTGTTACAAAATTACATTTAGAATAAGTAAAAATTGTATGGAACAGTTTTAAACCATTGACCATAGTATAAATTCACGTATGAAGTACATTCATATGGGTACGTTTGATTTGGAGAAAATATTTTGAATATATGATAAACTTTTTTTTTCAAAAATATTTAAATTGACCCTTTGTATCACAGTATTATTAATTTTTTTTTAATAATTTAACAACATTTATTAATAATTATATTATTAACAATTTAACAACATTAACAAACAAAATTATACAAATATGAATTAGTATTTGGATACTGACATTGAAATTCATAAATTTTTTATATTAATAATTAGAGAAATATGAAAAAAAATTTCCTGCCCAGTTTTCCTTTAACATTAATTAAAAACTGATACAAGATTAAGGCTAACCTTCTTTTAAACTTAAAAACACAATTACATTGCAAACGAGTATAAACAAACTGATATCTTACCACACAAGATCCCCTAGGAAATCTGAAATAGCTCCTGTCTGGATGAGAGAGTGTTCTGGCTCCACAAGCACAACATTTGCGCCACACTTTCTGTTTAGAATATCCTCTATAAATCATGACAAAGAAATGAGTTATAATATAATATCATACGACGTAGTGAAATGTCTTACAATTAAGTCGCCAATAATTTTTTTTTAAAAAAAGCAAAGGCACAATAACATAAAAGATTTTTTAAATTACATGACTGTTAAAAAATTATTATTAAATCAAGCCTTATAAACAAAGATGAATAATTGCCCTTTTATAAAATAGTGTTACTTCCTTACAAAAATTGAACAATAATTAATGTAACTTTAGAATGAGCATTGAAAAAATGATAAAATCATTTCAGTCAGTAAAGAATCACAAATCTATAGCATAACCCTTAGACTTAGAGGTTGGGCAGCTCAAACGAGCAGGGCACATCGACCAGAGGTCTATTGTACCCAAACCCTAAATTGTGATTAGCAGTTCAGCAAGCACCTTACAGGAAAGTCTTGCAATTTCCAGGTATTGACGCAATGCTGCCCTAAATGCTCAAATCTTTGAGCAGAATAGACATCACAATCACAGAGTATGTGTCGTGATGTCTCTTCTTCAAGATGACAACCCCGACAAAGAGAATTGGATTCTATTCCCATTATGTGTAGGTGTCTCCTGAGGATGCAGTGACCAGTAAGAAGACCTATGATCTTCCTTAAACAGTTTCTATTAAGCTTAAAGAGCTCCTTTTGACGTACACTAGGACAATCGTGATTCAGCTCCTTAGCTTGTCTCTGACCGTCAGCAGCGTGCCATTGCTCATGGGCAATCTTGCCGTAGAGCTTGAAAATGGATGCTCTAAATGAGGTGGGAGAAATTCCCAGCACAGGTTCAGGGCCCCAGAAAATTGCATTAGAGCCAGCACGCACTGCTTCATCAACTAGCTCATTTCCACCAATACCGATATGTCCAGGTACCCAATGCAAGGATACCTTGTTAGGAGCGGACAGGTCGCAGAGGACCGAGAAGCATGCCCACACTAACAAAGAGGTGAATTTACACCTTGACATAATTGGAGAGCAGCCTGACTGTCAGAACAGATGCGGATAGTCGTATTTTGATATCCCTTGTCTAAGCATATCTTGCAGCACAAGATAATGGCATAGACTAGACCTCAGCCTGAAAAACCGTGGCATAGTTACCCAGGGGGAAGTAAAGTTTGGTACCGTCACCGGAGAAATAAATTCCTGCTCCTGATTTGGACCAACTCTGAATCATCAGAGTACCATATTAGGCATTTGCCTTTAAGCCACCGAGGAGAACTAAACCATTCGTCTCTAGAAGGAAAATAGATCTTGAAAGGCGTATCTTAGTGACATATAGTCACTAAGCATAATAAAAGAGGGTATATCCATCACTTGTGAAACAAGATGTCCCCATGACAAGTGCTTAGAATACTCTTTCCATAGGCCAAGGTACATTAAACGCTTTATGCCTGTCTGAGCTTCAACTTCAATGCGTAAGTTCAATTGAAGAAGCCCAAGTAAGCTCTCTAGAGCAGCTGTTGGAGTGGTTCTAAGACAGCCTGATAGGGCTACACAGACCATTCTTTGTAGTCTATTAAGATTAGACCTTGCAGAGCTCAATTTAGTCCTTGACCACCAGACGATTGAGCGATAAGTGATGCTGGGGCTAATGATCATTGAGTATATCCAGTAAACTATTTTGGGGGATAATCCTCAGGTACTACCAATAACATTTCTGCAAGATCAAAAGATCTTTCTGGCCCTGTTGGTACTGTATTCAAGATGACCCCAATATAGTTTGGAGTCAAAATAAACCCCCGAGAAACTTGACTTTCTCCGTGAGTTACAATTTATAGGCCAGGTACATTATCTAGATCAAGATGCCTTTTTCGTGTGAAGGCTACATAGCTTATCTCGGATGGATTGACAGATAAGCCTGATTCAGAGCACCATCTAGCAACTTCTAGAAGTGCATTATTCATGATATCAGAGACTGTTTTTCCATGTTTGCCTCTGACAATAATAACACCCTCATCAGCTTACCCGATACAACGAATGCCAAGATCAGTTAATCGAACTAACAAGGAGTCCATTACCATACACCATAGGATAGGGGACAAAACCCCTACCTGGGGGCATCCTGCGGTTGCACGCACTTTCATGCTTGCACCCAATAGAGAGGAACTAACATACCTAGAGGATAGCAAATTCGCTATCCACTTGGTAATTATTGAGTTTATGCCTCTGTTCCTAAGTGCATTGATGATAGTCTCAAGAGGGACTTTATCGAAAGCACCTTCAATATCAATGAATACCGCAAGAGCCATCTCCTTATCCGTGATAGATTTCTCAAGCAGGTAGGAGAGCTCGTAAAGAGCGGAGTCTGTAGACTTGCCTGGTTGATAGGCATGCTGTGTAGAGGACAGTGGCCTTTCTATGAGCACAGTGTCTCAGAAGTATCTGTCAATTAGCTTTTCAATCACTTTCAACAGACAGGAAGTGAGGCTGATTGGTCTGAATGATTTAGCCTCAAAGTAATTTTCCTTACCTGGTTTTGGTATGAAAATCACCCTGATATTCCTCCAAGAGTGAGGTATATACCCAAATGCTATGCAGGATCGAAAAATCCAACATAGAATAGTGACATATATATTTACCCCTCTTAATAAGCATCATTGGTATGATGTCATCCATGACTGGTGACATATAGGGCTTAAACGACTTTATGGGCCATACAACCTTCTCACAAAAGACCATCTTGGTGGCCTCCCAGTCATTCTTACTACAAGTAGTTGTGGTAATATGTAGATGTTCGTTTTCCACAGGATGAGATCCAGGGAAGTGTGCTTCAAGTAGTTCTCCAAGAGCCTCTTCCCCTGATTCACTGTACCCTCTGTTTGTAAGACGGATGGCATTTAAACTGCAATTAAAGTCTTTAGTAAGAATTTTTGCAATCTTTGCGGTGGCAGAAAGTCTGCCGTGAGCGACGTTTAGATGCTCTGATAGCCTTGTTATAGGCAGATGGAGCGTTTCTATAGGACTGCCATTCTCCATATTTTTTTGCTCAGTTAAATAACTTCCTACATTTCTTACGTAATTTACTAAGCTCAGAAGACCACCAAGGAACTCGCCTTGGGGAGCTAGTAGACGTAATATGACATGAAATACGATACGAATCGAGTATGATCTGTTACACTTGGTCAACAGTCCACTCCACATCATTAACATTATTGTACTTACCAGAGAAGCTCCCAATCTTCCTCTCCAGAGCTGCTCTAAAGGAACCCCAATCAGCTGTTCTGGGGTTCCTCCTTATGACCATCAGTCCTGAAAGACCTTTAATAGAAAAAGTAATTAATTGGTTATCTAAAGCAGTAACTACTCCAGATACCTTCCATTCAGTAATGTGATCTACGGAAATAGAGTTACATAAAGTGAGGTCAATGACTTCCCTTCTGTTACAAGCAACAAAGGTAGGTTCATTGCCTGCTACCCCACACTGTGTGGTGAGCATTTGCATCACAGCCGAAGATGAATCTACAGCTTGAACTACAGTGGCCAATTAAAGTCCTAGTAATATCAGCTAATGGGTCCTTCTCATATGGGAGATAGGCTGAACTATGACAAAGTCAGAGATAGTCTCATTGTCATAGAATTTTAGCTTATAGCAACTAAATCCCTGTTAAGAAAGTTAACAAGATTAAGGGCATTTAGATTAGACCTAGCCACTATGCAGGTCCTGGGAAGGTCACAACGAGTATCATAAAAGATATTAAAACCTTTAATATTGAGACCCATTATTCTACCCTTTCGAGTCCAAGGCTCTTGTAAAAGAGCAATATCTAGTTCCCCATCACTTAACCTTTTAGCCATAAGGCTAGAGGCAGCAATGCTATGATGGAGATTAATTTGACCAACCTTAATCGTAAGGTTACGTCTGACTCGGAGTCCAACCCTAGCTCTGAAAAATCAAAAGCCCCAATTGAACTTACGTTGGAGTCGGGGGAATTAGCCTTCCAAGGTTCATCCTCCTGATCCATTTCCTCCTGGTCATCAGGTTCAACAGAGAGGACATTCGATGTTGTGAAGCCTCAACTGCTTTTTTTCCTGTTAGGATCGTGGATAATCTTGAAGACACCACGATCCACTCCAGTGAGTGCACAAAAATTTGCTCTCGCAATAGTTTCCACATCTTCAGGCTCCACCTCAAAGATCCATCTAGAGGGGCCCGGTTCCGCAGCACTTTGCAGAACCCTCCACCCCATAGACTTCAACCCTGGGTTAAGTCTCTGAAGACGCCACAAAAAGGTGCCCTGATCAGAGAATTGCTCTCTAGTCTTAAAGGCTACCTCCACAGGCCTTGGTAGCTCGTCAGCACTTATGACTTTGAGCATGAGGTTGCCCAAGGCTTTGCCGTTAAAGTGGCAGTTGATCCACCCTACAGTGAACTCGTTGCACTGTAATACCAACGCTCCTTTTTGGAGGTGGTTACTGTAGATCTCAGGCAGTCTTTCGCCACAAGGAATGGCATCAGTCTGCACTAAGATCTCCTTAAGGATGATATTTGAGTCTTCCAAAGAAAGCTTGTCCCGAGGAAAGTCCTCTAGAACTATAGCAATCTTGGTCGACTTGGTAGCACAAGCAAAAGAGACACCAGATTGGAGGCCCCCAGTTGAAACCCCCTCTCCAGCTCGGCTATCCCCACTAGGGGGAACCACTCCACTGGATTGGGCTATCCTCCCAGGAACAACATCCTTCCTGGGCTTCTTTTCTTTTTGGGTTGGCACATTGGGAGAGAGAGTTGCTTCAGAAGACCTAGGTCTCTTAGCTCTGCCACTCGCCGCCATGGCCCTCACTTTCCTTAACTTCTTTCTCCGGCTCTTGGACAATCCAGTGGCACCAGACACACTGTCCCCCGTGTGCCTCTGGGGACCAGAGACTCCTACAGAGGAAGGGCCTGCGCCTTTGGACGCCTCACCAGCTTTTGAAGTAGACTGCAAAGCAGCGGTATTAGCACTGGGCTCACCCGAGGGCTTACCATGTGCTACTGGAGACTGTAAAGAATTTTTCGAACAGGAACCTCTGCCTAATTCCTGAACGCATCCCTTGTTAACCGGCGCGACGGATGATGCCGTATCATAAGCTTCACTTGTGCTCATCATGTTTGTTTGCCTGCCATTTAGTTACCCAGTGAGGGGCATCCCGGGGGCACCACGTGGAGGCGGCAGGCATTACCCCCCCCCCCAGCATAACCCTTAAAATTCAGCCCTTCATCAGCAAGTACAGAATCAAGAAACCTGCATATTTATTTACATCTGATTATATCCATATAACTTTTATAAAATGAATTAAAATTATTAATGAACATTTCTCACCCATTTTAATTTAAGTTTTCCATTTTTTGGTTAATAATTATTTAAAATTAATCAAGTTCAAAATTAATCTGCCAACTTGAGCCATAGAGAGTAAAATCATTGCTCATTGCTATTTGGCATTATTACAGCATGTAGATTTTCAAGGAAACCCCCCCCCCCAACAATCAATCTACCCCAGAACATTTCAATCAACTTGCAACATTGAATTAACCCCAAACATTTCAAATTTCATATCCATGATTCTGACTGGCAATTTTTATTGGTATATGCTTTGCTTTTTGGCTGACGTTGAAAAATCAAATGAAAATAATTCGATTGCTATCTATCATACTCAAAATAATATATATTCTTTTATTTCATCAGTAATTGTAATTCTTTATAACAGCATTTCACGAATAGTACCAGCCTCATTATCTAAGAATTCGAATAATATTGCATGAACTTTTAACTTTGCCAGCACTTAACAACACCATTAAAAAATTATTGGGTCTTTAATATATACATGACTTTGAATTGTTTATATTTATCTCAAATTATGCTTGTTAAAGCAAAAATCTTGCTATTATAAGGAAAATATTTTGCAAACAAGTTAGCAGCTTTGCACTAAACACAAATTTTAAAATACAGTAGAACTCCAACTATCCGAACTCCAACTATCCGAATCGCTTTCAGAATTCGTATGGAAATATAGTAAAAAGATAAGGTTGTCTTTTTTCTTCTCTTTTTATATGAATAAAATAAAATGTTAGTAAAGCCAAGTAAAGATTTATACAGAGATTGTTTACAGGATAGGACAAAGATAAATAAAAGGAATAACAAGGTAGGGGGAATCCAGTGACAAAAGAGCACATGGGAGACCGTATGAATAAAGATGTTAGTTGTGGAATGTTATCTTAGGAATGTTGTTTGTTGACAAAGAAATGTGAACGCTAGACCCCCTGGTCAACTTGCTTGTGCAAATTGGCGCTTGTCAGGCGCAATACCGAAGACAACTTTTAAGAATGCTTTTAGTAGAGGGAAAGGATGAAGAAGGTGTATTGGATAACCACAAAAAGATAAATTTGAATAATTGCGTGTACATGGTTGCGGAAGCTCGGAATTTGGTTAAAGATGTCTCATTAAGACGTGCATGGAACAAGTTAAAAGGTGTATCAACTAAAGAAGAGATTGAAAAAGAGAAAAGGGAAAAAGAAGTTAAAGAAAAAAAAATGATGAAACAGAAGATGGGGATGCCGTATCTCTTGAGGAATTCAGAAAAATATTTTTGAAAATTCCTGGATGATCAGATGTCAGTGCTGAAGATATAGGAGAGTGGATGACGTGTGATTCATCAGACTGTGGATTTTAAATTTTAAATGATGATGAACTTATTGAAAGTGCGATGGAGAAAAGTGTCGATGAAGATGATGACCCTAATGCTGAAATTGAGGAAGACACAGGGCCCTCAGCTAGTGAAGCATTTGCTGGCCTTGAAACTGCATTGAAGTTGATGGAGCACCAACCCGAGTGTGACCATATGCAACTTTTCACTGTCAAACGGATGCGCGACTTAGCTGCCCGAAAACGGATAAAGACAGTTAAACAGCTTACTTTAACTGAGATGTTTAGCATGTAATAACTTTCATTTACTGCAAGGTATGTACACATTATTCATAAAAAGATCTTATTCCTTAAAAACAGTTCTTTTCCCACAATTCCACTATACATACAGTAATTATTTAAAATAAGCATTTTTTTAAAAAAAATATCCAATTATCCGAATTTTTGATTATCCGAATGGGTTCCGGTCCCAATTGATTCGGATAATTGGAGTTCTACTGTACAATTATATTTTATCTGACATTTGTAGTAAATAATATGCTTACATACATTCACCTTATTCTTTATAAAAAAAATGTTTTTTTTAATAAACAGCAGAAAAATAAATGCTTTTAACAAAACCAAATTTTAGACAAATAATTGAATAGTATGATAAATTGAACAATGTTCCCGCTTAATTTTAGACATAAAAATCCCTAACTTTTTGAGATTTTCAACAAAATATTAGATTACATTTTCTCTATGCATGGCAATATTTTATCAGAAATATATTTTTTTAATTTAACAAACAATGAAATATGTGGAATACTTTATAAAAGTCAAAATTTTATGAGACAAAGACATAAAATTTATTTTAGGGTTTATAACCTTCTAGTACAGTAGGGAATCGATTATCCGGAACAATCGGGACCATCGATATTCTGGATAACTGATTTTTCCGGTTTTCTGAATTGCTACAAAAAGCAGTTTTTTTTATAGTTAAACCCAACAACAACGAAAAAAAATTGGAAATAATTTTAAAAAGAAGAAAAAACAATTAAGTAATGCACTAATGATTATTTCCAAAATGATGGTAAGGTATCTTTCAAAAAAGAAAGAAAAATCCTAAAATCCTATGAGGAAAAAAAAATTTTTTTTTTTTTAAATGGCGGGAAAACTAATCGAATTTTGTTCCGGTTTTTTGGTTTTCCGGTTTTCTGATTTCCAGATAACGGGTTCTGTACAGTATAAAAATTACAGATGAAGGCAATATTTCGTACAAAAATTAGAAAATATAAAATTTCAATAAAACAGAGTCATCATATCAACCATTTAATTTCTCAAAGCAAAATTTATACAGAATGCATAATTTTTTAAAACTTAGTATAATTGAATTGCAAATTCTAAACAATTTTATAAGAAAAAGTAATAATAGAATTTAAACTTAAGTAGCAATGAGGTTATTTTGAACATAATTGGCTAATTACTGTTACTTTTAATTTTAAAATTGGTCATTTTCCAGGTTTATTGCAAGATTTTTCTAGGTTTTGGCCTTAAGTTGTATTATTTTCTGACTTTTTCCTCCAAAATAAAATTCCCTGGCAATCCCAGGTGTCTCTAATTCCATAAAACCCCAAGTTAATTAGGTATAAGTGCTTCAGAGTCACACAGCTTAATATTTTCTTCTAATTAAATATAATCTTCAGTAATTTAATTCCCTTTTACATACTATAATTTAGTTTTATTATTAAAAGAAATGAATTGGAAGATAAACTTAGTAAAAGAAAAATTAATGTTTTATACTAAATTGCAATTGAAGACATGCTTAATGAAAATTGCATTTAATTGCTGGTACACTTTGTTGCAATCCAAAATGAAATGCCAGAAATGTGAATACAGATGTAATATAAAGAAAAGAAACTGAACATAGGTAAACTCCATCAAAATAATTGAACAACAATGCAAAACTAATACTAATACTAAAAAAGGCATAAACTTGTACCTCTGTTAAATCTTTGCCAGCAGGTGGGATATTTGCAGCATTCTTTACTGAAAGTAGAAGTTTAAATGTTAAGGTTAATAACATATGACAGCAGCAATCGAAAATTATTAACATATAATTGTTGTAGCTGAGGATTAGACTACATATATCACACATTATAATTCAAATACTTTAATAAGCGGCAATACTTCAGTAAGCGGGTGGGTGACCACTTTGATCAGCCAGAGCAGGGGCTGAGGGTGTGCGATATTGGTCCTCGTAAAGCTGTTTCGCCGTAAAGTGCTCAACTTCACATGCAGGACAGCGAGCTACCAAAGCAGGGGAGCCACCCCCTCTGCAGAGGATCAAAATTGTGATGGCATGTCTTCGAATCAATCTCAGGGATGTTTCCTATTGTGCAGCTCAAGTGCGACGTAAATAAAGTACCTAATGATTTTCTCTTAGTTGTCTATCCATTATGGAGCCTCGGGGCACTGTCAGGCAGCGTGTCCCCTGAAGAAGGGCTGTCTTGCCAACACACATCTTTTATTTTATTACATTTTATTACTTTTCCCTGCTTTAATTGTTTGAATATCTAAATATTAAGCAGTGTCATTTCCTTGGTGCGAAAATATCCCTTGTGTTACCGCTATGAAAACCGGAAGGATGAATAGAATTTAGCGTCAGTAAAAATGACTTCTACTGGTATAACCATGAGTAAAAACAAATTTATGGATGATTGAAATATTTTAAATAAATAAACAATTATGTTTCTTGTTTAAGTTGGAATTTAATTTATTATCATAAAAATTAGCTAGCTTCAAAAAAATGAAAAGAGGTTTGCGTGTTTGAGATGCTTAGTTTTTTCTAAAATAACTTTTTTCTTATTTAACTTTCAACTCTAAAAATAAATCATTAATATCATCGTCTTTAGTGCACTCTAACTGCAACATGAGATTGAAGATCTCTTTCAGAGATTGCCAGAATGAGCTCTCTAAATAAGAAACTCACACAAATATTTTGAATAGATTTTAACCTACTTATGTGATTTAATATTTTTTGTTTTGATATTTTTCCGTGTTTCCTTATTAGACCTTTTTTGCAGAGTTTGCCCGGTCGCTACATAGAGGTGGTCTATCCTGAAGGATATACTGTATACATATATACAAAATGCAAAAACTTTACACGATTATGATAAAATAACTAGTTTTTGACAAAGAAATGTTTTTTTTTTTAAATTTTATTAGCCACCGTAAAAACAATGTAGAATTTTAAATGTATTCAATATAGAGTCATTCATTCGATTTTTTAAATTAATAATTACTTGATTTATGCAAAAAAGAATAATTTTAATTCAAATTATAATTAGTTAAACTAAAATTTAAAAAAGTTATCGGGTGTATTTTTTAGATTAAATAAAAGTTATTTATAAAAGTGTATTTAACAAAACATCAACAAGATTAATATTATTGATCATACTAAATTTATAAAGATACGTCAAGAACTAAGCAAACTAAGAAAACTTAATAAATTCATACTACTAATTTAAATTGGTGAATGGCCTCTAGAAAATTTTTAAAAATTTGTAACTTGGTCAGTATTTCTTCAATGAAATGATCAAAAAAATTTTCAATATTTTTGAAATCTAAATACAATAAGCTAAACATTTTTGTTAGAAGTAAATTATTATATGGCCCTTGTACTCATAATAATTAACAAATCTGACATTATTGAATTTTTTATTACAATAATTTTTAATCATATCATTAAGAGATGAATTTAAGTTTTTTGGAATAACAAATCTAAATTAACTTTAAATTTTTTACTGCATTTGCTAAATGTTAAAATAGTGAGAAGTCTCGCACTTCATACATTTTTTTAAAATCTGACTTCTAAATATCATTGAGTTTTTTCATAAAAAAAAACTTAGACTACTAAACACTTTAAAAGTAATAAGACAATGATAAAAAGTAATGAGTTAAAAAAATGTTATAAAGTGCAATAAAAAGTTTAAACAATTTTATGCAAGAACTGGGCAGTCCCCAGGTTATAACTCCTATGATTAAAAATCTTAATTCTTATCTTTATTAAATTAAATGAATAACAAGGAAAGGAAAATTTTGAGGTGATGAAGTTTTATTGTTGACTTCTCTGAGCCTACATAAAAATATGTTATTTGTGAATGATCCCCAAGTCCAGTTGAAGTATTACGGTACTGATCCATAAATAGAATAGTCCAAAAAATCCATTGGCTTGCCAGTGACAAAGACGATTGCGCTTCACCAGCAAAGAAATTAACAAGAGAAATAAAATTTTCTTTTGTGTTTATGGACAAAAAATTTGGCAATGTTTAGTTGGTCCTCATCATCAGCAAAAATGCGAGAGATTTTTCATGTCGATTTCAAAAGGCAGTAAATGAAGTTTGAAATCGAGAGAATCTCTTGCAAATTGAGGCAGAGTTGCACATGAGAATGCAAGAATCCTTTCCACAGAATCAAACTCTGTGTAAGCACTTGCAGACCTGTAAGATAATTGGCACTTAAACATGTAAAATAACTGGCACTTGCATATGCTTCGGACCAACAGTATGCCAAAATCGATAGTGATTGAATGAATTAAGAAAATGTTGAAAGGAAGAATGTGAAAATCACACCCCTTGCTTAATTCAGGACGAAATTAACATGGTAAAGAAAAACAAAATCTCATATTAGAAAAGGAAAAACTAAGCACTTTATATAACATCTAATGAAAAAAAAAGCATCTTCAAGGACTTTAAAAGAACAAAAATCGAATATAAGCACGTTTTAAAAATGATACACACCCCGTCAGAACAATAATTTATATCTTTTTTAAACAAAGTAAGTAACATTAAGCCATTTCTTTCATTTTTTTCTTAAGATAAAGAAGCTATTCGAAAACATTGAAAATTCCTTCTCCATTTTGTTTCAATACAAATGCTAATTCATACAAATATGGCAAATTAAAATATTTGCAATTCATATTAAAATAACATACCATCCATATGTCCCTAGTTACTGGCTAATTAGTTACTATTTGTGTATGGGACCTGGAAGGTGCTAGCATGCAGGTGGTTGCACATTCACCTCTTGGAAAGAGACCCCACGCTGCCTCTTCTTACATTCCTTTCTATCTTTTTCTAGCTCTGGTGTCGTCTCCGCCTCCTCCATATCACAAACAACTTAGTAGGTAGCTAAAAATATGTAACTTGACATTAGGAAAATTAAGCATCGTAATTTACAATATACAAGTTTTAAAAAGACAATTGTGTGTGTCCATGTAAGAATTATTCACAGAGCAACGGGTGTACATTTTCATTTACCAAATTTAACACAACAGATATTAAATCCTCCTCCAGATTCAGCAATTAGTTCAAGTAACAATGAAACTCTTTATCAGTAAGCAACATTAAGCTAATAATTTCTTTCATTTAATTATTTTGAATAGTAATTAGCATTTAAAAAGAAAAAAAAATAGTGAAAAGTGTCAACTAAAAAGTTATTTTAAGGTATCAAAATATCAATTTGTGAGTAGAGTTGAGTTGAGTTAAAATTGCTAAGAGACACTATCAATCTGTTAACTTACGATTTTGAACAGCAGATAGCAGCACCGTAGTTTCCAAATCATTCGGAATATTTCAACTTTTATTGTATCCTAAATATAGAAATTTTTTTGTGATATTTAATATGTAATAAAGTGTTAATTATCATTTTTCAGATAAATTTTCATTTTTGAAGGTTGCTTCTACTTTAATTAAGCTAACAATTCATTTTCAAGCTGAAATTTTTATAACTAAAATTATTTAAATATGTAGTGTTCGGGAATATCGAAGAAACTTTTCTTTGCGTGGAAACCAAAAGAAATTATGTAAATATATCATATAAAAATCGTTATTTTTATTAATTGAATTTTATTTGAGTAAGAATATTCAAGTTCTTAAAGAAGATTGTAATAAATACCCAATTGTTTTAGTTTTAAAATAAAATTATAAAATAATTAAATAA